ACCCAGTAGTTCTGCTTGACATGACGATCCTATGTCTATCGAGTTGGTGTGTGCTGTTTTCGGTGAAGAATTAGGAGTTGGAATACTGGATTTGCTATAGACTAAGGAATTTTTATTTTTGGTTAGGTTACAGAAGTGGGTAGGATTCTTTATTTGGCCTATACTTGTGCAAGTGTCAAGTGTGCTTAATGGATACGGGTGCACTAGACCGTTCCTGTTTTCATGCAAGGAGGGAGCCAGCACTAGTGGTTTAGGAGTGTTAACATCCCTACCAGCTGTTTTTTCAACGCTGACAGGGACGCGGGGGATACAAAATGATTGGATCCTTGTGATGACCATGGCTTATTATTCCACCTATTGTTTGATGCTAGTTGTGTCCTTGTGTGGGTTTCGTGTGTACTGCATTGTGGGTTAGTTCCCAGGAGACTCGTACCATATATCCGGTCAAAATTTGTTTGTGTGCCATACTCTGAAGACGCTGAGTTGTTGGTAGCCGAGTTCATACTATTGCCGCTTGTACTATTGAGGGTGACATTGTTGTGACATTGGATATTAGTGTGTGCCATGGTGCGATTTCGCACGTTGTGAGTGCTAATATTATTGACAATGGGAAGTGTGGGCTTACTTAAGCTGCCACTGTTTTTGTTGGTATGATTTAGGGGCATATTTTCCTTATCTTTACCAATGGAGTTACGGCTAGGAGAGGACAATGTCGAATTTCGGGGGCTTTGGCTTTTTTCTGGGGTCATTTAGTGGCATTTTAGATTTTGCGGTGATAGGTGGTATGGTTTTATTATTTATTTGGTTACAGTCTAGTGGCCTTTCGGCTGGCGTTGCACTCTGATCGGATAATTTTCTGTGTTTTTAGAGGGGTGATGCGGTGGGTTCTACTGTATCTTTCACAGGGTTGGGAATAATGGCTGCTTGCAATGTCCTACTACTTATTTCACAATTAGTCTTAGGAAGATAATTGTATGCGCGCCTTTCTATGACTGTTTTGTCCACCCCGACCTTTATAAGTCTGTAGTTTCTGGCTTGCGATAGGGTGTGTTGGGAGTGGATGAATTTTCTGGTCTCTGCCGGTGTTTCGAACTGAAAACGAATAGGACAACACTTCTCATGTTGACTCTTCTTCAGCCTATAGCACTTAGTCCTGGAGTTAGGCATTTTCGCCTCACTAAGTAAGATGCACTGTCTTTTTTTTAGTGCCTCTTTGTCCGGAACGTTGCAGACAATAGCACTCAATTTTGCGTCGAGTCGTTTTGTTACTTCTGTGGTAACAAAATTAATGAGGTTATCTACCTTAGTTACCGATTCTGTGTCATGCTTGTTAAGGTTTACAGTTTTCATGAGGATAGTTAGAGGTTTCAGTTCACAGACCTGCGATCTGATATCGCTGATCTGATCTGATAATTTGGATATCTCGGTATTGGTTTCGATGTTTCCAGCATTTACTGACTTATTGTTTTTTATTTCCCTTAATTTAGCGCTAAGTTCTCCTATAGACAACTTTAGAAGTTCTATTTCTGCGGATAGTACTGATGGCTGGAGTTTTTCGATAAGCACATAAGGTGAAGGGGGGGTTCTGTATGAGCAGAGGGTACTGAATTTTTAGGAATAGTGCTAATACTAGCTGTCAGTACAGTTTTATCCTCAGTTCCAGCTAGACGCTTATGGCATACAAGTGAGTTTTATGACTCACTATAACCGTTTGTAGGGGATGTGTTGCTCGATGTAGCAATCAAGGACGTTACATTAGTCACCAGATTTACAGGGGATTAGGCTCGTTGCTTTTTACTTTGATTAACCATAACTATTAGAAGTGGGAGTTAATGGTTAGAGGTATGGAAGTGGTATAGTACTTGTGCAAGTATTGCAAGAAGTTAAATTTTATGTAGCGATTCACGCAAAAATGGAACGCCAATGTTGAACGTAACGGGATACACACTGGCCCACATTTGAGCAACTGAAATGCTATCCTTTACTGGATTGGATTTTTCCTGAACAAACGTTTTTCGTCAGAATAACCAGTCGCGCCTTCGAGTATATTACCAGTGAAATGCAGACTTCCGTTGTCGACACCTACTTGGTTGTTTGCTTCTAAATCTCTCGCCCCATCTTTAGACCAGGAATTAAAGGAAGTCACCGAAGTATAAATTAACGAGTTTTACTGAATGGGGCTTGTCTGAAGAAGTAGTATTGAGGTTTAGCAATGAAACAAGTAGAGTGCTGATAACTTCCAGGACAACAGATACAAGGGAATTCGAATAAACTACCATTGCTTTCTAATGAAACTCAAAGAACGCTGATCAAATTAATATCAGAGGGGTAGACCAGAAAATACCAATAATGCCACTGAAACCGGAACTTGGTGGCTGTGTAGCTCTTAACATTTGGGTGCTGTGAATAACGGCATCAGAAAATATTGCTGTCGCCAGGAGACAGCTCTGAAGAAGTCAGAATACTACTTATCCATAGAATAACCAATCCAATCCACTAACACGCGTGTTTTCCAATATGCTTGTACTCTTCGCTGCAATAGCAGATTATATCGAGTGGCGCCAGGTACCAATTTGAGACGTTCATAGGGTTCAGGCTGAAAGGGAAATGAAATAGATATCTCATGGTACATACAGATAACTTTTGATAGATGGTTTCAATCTGCTGTGCAAGCCAATGATTATTTTTGTGCTGAAGGGACTTAACCATAGAAAGTGTGGGTCTCGGGGAGAAATATTGTCTATGTTCCTCTAACAGACCTTACATGAAAGTGGATGGCGCCCTCGGAATTTTGAATCACTTTAAACATTATTGTCAATCAATTCCCCCTTTAGAACCCATAATACCGTAACGATGCGCTTCGCGACTGCATGTCTTATATTTATAGTACTCCGTCAGCGGTAATTTTGTGAGCCTTTGTGGCCTTCTGACGCTCCCCAGAGAGAATTTTGGAATATGATATTGGCCAAATGAGGTATTGATCTGCAACGCTGACTGGTCTTCATTTGAAAAAGTTATTCTTGTCCCCACCGACTGCAATAAGGTCATTCAGTTGATTAAGTAAGTTTTCGAAATGAGCTGAGACATCTTTTCTTCTGATAAATGTATCCGGTATATGGAAATTAAATTCAAGGAGAGGCGTCTCCATTCCTAGTCGACTAAACTTCAGACTAGATGCAATATAAATGAATTCTTAGGGCCATTTGAGTGAAGATTATAAGGGAGTAAAGAAATCTGTTTTTGAAGCGCCACCAGCATTGTGATTGAGTTCTCTCTGAAGAATTCCCTCTTATATTTTTGGTAATGGTTGCTTCAATAAATTTACTGAGCGGTTATTCAGAAATCATAGCTAATTTTTCTTTGGGGATGACTCGCCTTCGTTCTTTTTATTGTTCTCTTAATATTTTGATAGCATTGTTCAATGCTGTTGGGTATTCTGGGTTGAGAGTCCGTTCAGTCATATGCCGATTATGTGAATCAATGATTATTAATTTTACCACTTGTTCTCCATATTGTTTGACTAATTTCTACTCCAGAGGATGGTTAACTAGGGGTTTACACTAGATATTGGCTGGTAGAATCTGGTGCTCAGATAAATCAATGATTAATGAACACACCACTGTAGATCAAAGCTCCCGACTAATCAAAAGTTAAGATTGCGAGCAATTAAAAATGACTGATGTAAATTAATAACTGGTCACAACAACGGTTGCCAGGAGATACATTTATATCAACCATGAAGAATTCAAATAAGTTCATACTATAGCAAAGTTGATGCTGAAAATATCCTCCGAAGAAATTGAAAGCCTCGTAGTTCAGTGGTTCCGCTCAGAGAACACAGCCAAATAAAAATTAAGTACTGTTGGACAAAATCAGTCGATTGAAATTAAAATGTAAGGAGTTCAGGTACTAGTAAGACATCTCCAACAAAACAGGATTCAAACTCTGTCCACAAGTATGACACAACACAGGTAGTCCAAGTCAGAGTGACCTTGACTTCCCCAAGACAAGACCATACCTAAAAAACAACGTGTTATAAATGTGTCTCAAAACCAAACGGAAACACTTAGATTTGAGATTAGATGGGGACAAAGGCAAATAATAAGGAGCAAGTCAATGCACAGGTGGCGAGTCACTGTAGACACCAGGAAGTTAGTTTATCGGCATCATCTATGTTGCACAAGATTAATGTGTGAAACTTGACAATGGAACTTAGAAAAAAAGACAAATTATTAGACTTTTTGCCAATAAATATTTAAGTGCCTTCCATGCATCCAGTTTAAAAGATGTGCAGGATTATCATTCTGGACACTTATAGGTAAAGTGCTTTTAAATTAGCTATTCAAATTAAATGCGTGGTGGAGACATAATGTGCCAGCGCCAGTCAGGCATAATTTTTCAAGAATGGTTGCGAACCTTTACATAAAGACAGTAGAAAACTATGAAGCCGAGGACTTTACATTACTATGAACTCCAACAAGTCCTCTGTGATGTTTGGCGCTGATATATTTTTCATGTTATATAATACTTTCAACGGCAATAATTTGGTATACGGAGTCCTGGCAGCTAGTTCATCCTTCAACTACAAAACAGTTAAAGTAATGGGAACTCAAACACGCGAAAGATTCTAAGATCACTCGTTTAAGAAGAGTTTGAACTGAGCATATTTATTTCCATTGAGTATTTACCACATACTAGCACCCTTTGTCCTAAGTAATGATTTGAGTGGTATTTTTCCTCTGTGCAACCGACCACTTTTGAGGATATCACCTTGAAGTTCAAATGGTGTGGTAGAATCGCGGAGGTCTCTACCGGAGTACACCATTTCAACGAAAGTGGACTTTCACGACATAAAATCGAAATCATTAAAATAAACTTGTGGTTTAATATCCATGAAAATCTGTAATCTAAAATAAATTAAATGGTGACGGAGTGACGAAAACGCAGAAGGGTATACGTATGTCATTAACAGTATGGTCTATATTCACTCCTTATCTCGAAGCGTACCCAAATTGTGTCAGTACAGAAAACTGGACACTAAATCCATCCAATGTGATGATTGGTTATCCTTCAGGTAGCATGCTTTCATTAGCCACTAACAATTCCAATCAGTTTTGGTGTGAATCTACTGTTTAGGCTGAAGTTCTTACTTGTTTCACCCAAAAGTCCTTATATATCACTTCACATTGTTTGGTCTGATGATGGTGGAGTTAGGGCAGTAGGCGGGAAGGGCGTCCTATAATGGCGGGCTAGACAAACGGTCGACTGTCGACTGGACTTAATATTTACCAGTGAGTAAAGGTTTATGTTGTCTATAGTTGGTAAATTTAGTGATTTAGTTTATCGAGTTTCACTCTAAATGGAGGTTGATGCCAGTAGTATGGCCACCTGTGCACCTGAAGTGTTTGATATCGCTTCAACACTTGTTAATGTTGAGGAAGTCACAGAAAAACAAAGCTTTGAAGTACCAGCATCAACACCTGATGTCGTCCCAGTTGCTGAGCCAGTTAATCATGATGCAGAGCCTGGAACGATCTCAAAGACTCCTGAAACTGTGACTTCTGATCCCGTTGTCGTCCCTCCTGTGGTGAATAACAATGTTGGAAAGTATCGTCTCTTACGTACTATAGGAAAGGGGAATTTCGCTAAAGTGAAACTTGCCATTCATATGGCTACTGGAGTTGAAGTTGCCATAAAAATAATCAACAAGACTGTCATGGATAATACTCTCCTGAAACGTGTAAGTCAGTTGTTTTTCAATGCATTCCATGTGTTCAGCTCAAGCGTGAGATCACTATTATGAAGGTCACAAACCATCCAAACATAGGTAAGCCCTCCTTTCTTCTGAGATTTTTCAGTGAAACTTCTTGAAATAATTGAAAACGAAGATGTACTGTGCCTTGTTATGGAGTATGCAAGTGGAGGTAATCGTATCAACCTCGTATATTGTTTTCTAGGTGAAATATTTGATTATTTGGTTGCAAATGGAAAAATGCGCGAAAAGGAGGCGCGAATAAAATTCCGCCAGTTATTATCAGCGATGCAGTATTGTCATGCCAAACGAATTGTTCATCGAGACCTAAAGGCTGAGAACATTCTATTGGATCAGAATTTAAATGTGAAAGTTGCTGACTTTGGTCTGGCGAACACATTTGAATATGATCAGAGGTTAACAACGTTTTGTGGTAGCCCTCCGTATGCCGCCCCAGAATTGTTTCTGGTTAGTTTCATCAGTATCTTACATGGTCATGTGAGATTTTCCGTATGATAGTTTTCATCGAATAACAAACTCTTATTAACGGTGTTAACATTAACCATCTTATGTTTGTTTTATTTTGGTTTTGTCTCATGCGTGGTAGTTATCACTTAATAGAATAATAGGCGAATTACTATGTGTTAAAACTAACATTGTGGAGTCCAAATTTCTTGTGATAGGTTTCAGTCAGTGGGAAGAGATTCTTAGTTTCCACCGTGGTTTATTCAACTAAGGCTTTTGAACCTTTGTATGATAACCTCAGTGTTCTAAAACGAGTTAGTGACATACATGAAAAACATTCTTTTGGATGCTACTCACTTAAGTAGGCCTGGATCCCTTGTCACGTTAAGGGTAAAGCTTTAAACTGCCTTGCTATAGAGGCGATGCAAAGTACATTCAACATAGTCATTGTATTCATCTCAGAATGTTTGTTTTTTCTGTAAAAAAGATTGACTACTTCTGTGCATTATTTGAGGTGGTCTCACATTAGATATATCACTAAACATCTCTTCACCAAATTGCTTTAAATCCTTGTTAATTGACTACGAAATTCCCAGTGCTTTGTGTGCAGTTGTACCACATTGTTTTGGTATCTACAAGTGTCTTCTTTAAGTCTTATTGAAACATCTTATTAATTGCCCTACTGGAAATAATAAATATATATGAACAAGCAGTTTGTTATCTCTGCACTATCTCTTTCGCTAGTGAATTTGTTCGAATATCCAGTAGATATCATTCGAGCACTCGTTGTTTGTTTCTATCCTTGGAATGTGACCAATCCTTCCTAAACTACTCTGAGTCCGTTATGGTAATTACCATCCTAAATAATTTATTTAAAAATATACCGGACAGAATAATAGCTTAGCATTACTAACCTTCAGGCTAGTGCGTATTCTGAACACCACTTCACTAGCTATCAAAAGTGACCGTTTGAAGGATTGTAGTATTGATATTACTCAACACCTGTATTTTACTCTCAAGCGATTCGATAGACTTTCATCTTCTATGTTCAAGTGTTCTTACCGATCCTACGCCTGATATGTGAGTGTAACACTGGGGCCATGTTTGTCAGACGCAATAAGTGGGAAGATAGCAGCAGTTGCAATTGTGACTTGTGAAGACCTATGTTTGACCTAAATTTGTTGGTGAAAGTGTTATAGGCATACTTTGCAAAAGTGCTCTCATATTTCCAAGGATGACATTGTCTTTTATGGGGAACGAAAATAAAACTCACAAGATGCTTACAAGTATTTGAACCAATATTTTATGACCGATGTATCAGTGTTACCTTTGTAAAGGTGTATTTTCATCGTTAGAGGATAAATACTATCAATCACTCAAAGACTCCCCCAGACGCCCTGGATGTGTTACTCATTATCGCTCCCTATTGTCAGCTAAAGACGAACTTTTATGAAAGCCAAAGGCGGTTAAACTAAGAAACAGTTCCAATTCATGGAACCTTTTTCTGTTCCACTGGGCTGTGTAGGAATGTGCACAATACTTGGGTTTACATAATGACTGAAGCACCTGGCTGGAGACTGAGTAACGTTACCCAGAACAAATCTCACTGATGCAAATTCATTCATACTATTTGTTGTTCTCAGAATGTATCTCAATTTATATTATCGTTTCTTCTGCTTTCTAGAGTTTAACAACAATTTGCAATCTTATTTTAAATTCTGACTTTTTATTACCTGTATAAAGGTTGTTGTGCTTTGCAATCTGAAATGTCAAGCGATAATTTCAGATTGCTTACTAGTGTCCCCATGCTCCATTAGACAAACAATGGTGTCATGCTGCTTATTCACAGCTAATATTCAAATGTTGCGGTTCATAAATTACCAGATTAATCAACTGAAACCTGCTTTATCTTTTCAATGTAGTTTGAATTTTATTGGAGGTAAATTCAGCATTTTTGACCTACAAAGCGCAGTACATCATTATTCATATTCTATACTGCATTGACTGTCGCTACCAGTGATATGCAAGTAAAATATGGTCCTATTATAACGTGTAATTTCATGCTATTTCGTTTGTTTAGCAAAAGCATATAGTAATAGTGTTGTTTACTGGATAACTTTTCGAACACAATTGATTGCTGATAATCATATTAAAAGTCACACAAGTGTTTATCGAAGATAAGCACTATGTCATATGTATCCAAGCGTTTTTTCTGATTCCGTACCTGTTAAGGCAGTCGTGGTAAAAATGATTAACAAACGAGCTAGGATTTTAACTATTGACCCGAAGACAATATATTGAAGAATTCAAGAATATTAAAAAGGCGCTAATACTTAATAATTACTCCCTCCCAGTAAAAACATCATAGGGAAAGTTTTGGTTTAGTTTAGCACTCTATTCACTCGCGTCAAATGGTATACACCGACCCCTAGTTTAAAGATGGAAGTGAAGTGGTTCAATGTTAATCAGTTCACTCATTTCAGAAGTCTCATTAGTGCTGACAGACGCGTTTCTGATGGAATCTCAATATGAATACAAAAGGCTTGTCTGGCATTTACAAAGTTGTGTCATATATGACGTAGCTGAGATATTCCGCCATCGATCAAAGGTTGTATGTACTGTGTATAAGTTTGCTCCATCCTTTTTTATGGCTGAAAAGTGGTCGTTAAAAGAAGATACGAAGAGGCAAGTTGTCTTTGACCACATGTGTCTGCGTTCTGTCTCCCTTGTTAAGTGCTATAATATGGTTAGCAATATTGAGATTATATGCAGTGTTATGTAAGAAGAACAAGTTAGTTGATGAGGTTGTGATGCTGTTTCAATTAAGTTGGCTAGGAAATGTTATGCATATTAAGGCATCTCCTTCCTCGTCGAGTGATGTTAGCTTATTTACACTTGATTTTGGAAAAGAGTTATGGGTGGTCAAATCAAAACATGGCATCTGTCTGTAAAGTTCTTGACGGCTTATTTAAGCCATGTAGGGAGGTGTAGAGTGCTTGGTTGGGGTCATCGGGATACTAAGAACTAATGGCTAAAGACTGATGTTGATCTGGCTCAAAATCGTTCTCAATGGTGCAGATGTATTCACTCTTTGCGATTTCTTAAACCCATTAAATTCTCACCATTTCACGTAATTTTACTTTCTGCTACACATCTGCGTTCATTATAGTTCCTTTGGACTTTTTTTGCTTATTTGTGTGCTATATGGAGTGCTACATTTTCGTGCTAAATTTCGCGTTGGTATGTTTATAGAGTAGAAGCAACAGCTGTTGGTATCATTTATGGACTTTTGATGACGTTAAGCCAAGCAATCGTCAAACTGGATGTTACGTATGTTGGATGTTTGCTTAATTAGGAGACTTTCAAATTCCTCTAGATCTATAAATTTAATTTATGTTTGCATAAATGTTTGACTTCAATAAATCATATAGTCGTAATTTAATGGAATTTTTATTAATGGGTCTAATCCATTTTTGTGCATTCTTGTTGCTTTTCAAGGGCATTCCATATTATGGACCTGGTGTAGACATTTGGTCACTCGGTGTTATTTTGTTTACCTTAGTGCTGGGTCATCTGCCATTCGATGCACGTGATCTTCGTGAACTTCGAAGCAAAATTTTGGGGCTGCACTATACTATACCTAGAGGTTCTGTTTCACCAGAATGTGATGCTCTTTTAAGGAAAATGCTAGTTCTAGATCCAAAAGACCGGTCGTCCCTAAAAGTATGTTTTTTTGTTTTGAAAATTATTTCTCCTGACTTTTACTTTTATGTATCAATATTTATCCTAGTTTATCTCTACGGATCTACACTAGTGCATTTACCAATCGCCTCATCATAGGCTCCAGTGGGATATCCTGACGCATGTTACTACTCAGTGGCTCACCTTATACAACCTAACGACTGAAAATAAATATGAAACGGCTATAAACCATTGATTAAGTGTGTTTATTTCTTGACTTGCATAAAGTAAAAGCACAGAATAAAGCTCTGGATAGAGACGGTAAATCAATGGGCAGTGTCGTGCTTCTTTACTGACTAACAGGGTTAGAACATGTAAATATTGAGTGGTCACTTTCTCCGATGTTCACTTTTGTATGAAGTAATAAAATTAGTTTGACAAAAAGTTTAGGGTGGTTAAATTAAAATATAGAGACAGTATGAAGTTAACGGTTGTTGTTCTAAACCATGTAGTAAAGTGTGGTTGACTGTCTGGGACACCCAAGAAATGATGGTTAGGGGCTTTTGATGACTTAACTAGAAATCACTCATCATGGTACAGGTATGCGGTCTTAATCGTGTATAAAGTTCTGGAAAGTTTCGTCAGTCTTCGTTTCATTATTTCCTTACTTCTCATACATTTTTGTTCATTGTTTATGTTGTGTGATGGTGTAAAATTGATACACTTCTATGCGAATTGTTATGCTCATATGTTAGTCAGTCAGATAGTACCCGCATTTGAATTTGTGTAATAGGTGGGTCAATGATATTCAAAAATGATTCTTATCAGAAAATGTTTACCTTACGGGGTCGAACTTAGATTCATTCCCTTCTAATCAGTCTCAATTAAAATATGCTTCGTTATTATTTAGTTGTAAGTGAAGAAATATTCACGGAATTCTTCAGATAAAAATGTATAATTAAGGATTTGTATTGCTAAATTGTTCAATATTTCGTCTTCGTTCAGTAGATCGTTGTTTGTTGAGTTTGTATAATCGTGTATACAAAGTTTGTTCGTTACAAACTTAAAATAAAGGTGTGTTTTCAATAGTTAGCAGAGTTTTTCACTTTATATTACAAATTAAAGAAGAGTTTCCTTCATTCATGGTAACCATTTAAATACATTGTTTTAAGGCAAAGTAAATGTAATATTGACCGCTGTCTTATATTCTCCTCAAGTCTTTAATGCAGGATAAATGGGTCAATATGGGCTATGCTCCAGGTGATCATCTTCGTCCATACAAAGAACCACCAAAATCTCAACTGGATGATAGTCGGGTAAAAGCTATGGAGGAAATGGGTTTTACAAGAAAAGATTTAGAGTCGTCAGTTGTCAACCCTGAGTTTGATCATGTGTATGCAACTTATCATTTACTTCCTGAAACTCCATCTCAGTTTGTCGAGTAAGTACCAGGAAATTCATTTATCGATTTTAAAATATTTCTTTTTTTCTCCTGAGTTGATCACGGATTGATATTAGTTAGAGAACCATTGAAAACCAGCACTGAAGTACTGGACAGCTGCTGTTTATCCTAGTTTGGGAATCACCGGCAGTACACACCCACTGGGATTCGAACCCAGGACCTTCCGGTTACAAGGCCAGCGAGCTCGTATACCATTCAGCCACTGAGATCCGATTAAGTGGCCTATGAATTCTAACTTCTACCATTTCGTGATTTAGTGCGACTCCAACCATTATCGTTGGTGTGACATCCATCCACATACATGACATCTAATTGGACCTCATTGGTCACGACTTCTCACTAGAACTCCAGGAAACTCCATCCTGTAGCAAGTCACTAGCGAGCATCAGATTAATTTTCTATAGTTTGGTTTGTAAAGGTTAGTTATGTTTTTTCCGAGTTGATCACGGATTGATATCAGTTAGAGAAATATTGAAAACCAGGGAGTACTGGACAGCTGTTTCATCCTAGTTTGGGAATCATCGGCAGTTTCTCAATAAATTTATCTTGTTATGTGGAAAATTGATGCACTAGAGCAATACAGTGAACATAAATAGTCATGCTATAGTATAGTACTGTTGCAACCACAGGTTATTTGTTTAATATTTACTTCTTTCTATGCTGTTTATTTCTGCTTACTTTGAAGTTATCGAATGGCATGTTATGGTTCACTGTTTTATCCCCTGTACTAGTAATGGTATCGGGATATGTTACAAATGAGAGAAGTTGAAACATTTTTCAACGATGTGGGTGTAGAATTGTATTCTTCTTCCTGGTGGTGGTAGTGTGTGATACTAACGTCATAAGCTATGTACCTATTTTCAGATGCATTATTTCTTACACAGATTAATTTTATTATCTCCCTCAAACTACAGACGCAATAATCTTATGCTAAACTCCATATCTATTGTCGAGATATTTATAGACTGTTGGATAATTACAATTAATTTCTCATGCCACCTCAACGTACTGGTATAGACAATACCTGTTAGCTTGCCTATAAGTTTGACAAATGTACAGTAAATTCAAGAACGCCCCAAAAATCGAGGAATTGCGTAAAAACTGAAATAATTAGGCGTTGTTTGTTAGTAATATTACCAATTAGTGACCGGTCATTTATTCTGCCTGGTTAAGCGGCAATAATATTATTGCTTATTTATTCTGAAAAGGAAGGTTTAAAAATCGAATTCCATAAATGCACTCACTTTTTTCTACAACAGAAAAGTTAACAGATGGGTTATTCAGAGCCCAGTTAAGACTTGTACAGATGCGTAGTTCAGCGGCCATTTTTAATCGCTTCTAAGTGAAGCATTCAATTATTTTCACAATTTGTAAGGGCTGGTGTTTACTTTATAGGTTATGCGCTAAAGTCAGAGTATTTATATAAGGTTTTTGTCCCATGATTCCACTTCTAGTGATTATTGTTTTTTACTGGTTCTTGCACGAAATGTGCCGTAGAATTTCTACTTTTGTATGACAGACCTTGAATGTCACGAGTTTTCGTAATTCTTTGCTTTTAGTCGTATAGTCTTCTTGTTAAACAAGTCTCGTTACTGATCTGTTCTTAGATTCATTGAGACTTGAATTTTCCTTTGCTTGATTTTACAAGACCGAATTTACCGGTCCCTACATTAAAGACCTTCATTTCGATTGGTTTTTTGATAAGTGGTGCTTAGCACTGGGACCCAAGGAGCGTGTTTCGTCGAGTCTGAGATTCTTCCCCTTTGTGTGCCTGTATTCTGGTGGTTGATGATATTGTCGTTGACACTCGAACCCATAGTTTCATGTATCATACTGCTGTTTAATAGTGCACTGAGTCCGTGGGTTTTGATGGAAACATCACCTATTCAAATTCAGATATACCCATCTGACGATTGTCACATGGAATGAAAACCTTGTTCTGGACTTCACAGCTAGCCGTCACTCATCAAATTATTCACAGATTGTTTAACACACTAATGCTTTAGAGCTGAAGTACTTGTTATTTGTCTTACCAACCGTTTTTAAGTTATTTGATCTGCAAAATTATTATTTCGGAAAACTGATCGCTATTTTTGAGTATTTGGAAATTCAGTATGCCTGTTTTATTTGACTACTTCAACATGCAAAACCTATCTATTAGAATAAAATTCCACGCGAATGTTTCAGAGCTGCGTCCTAAATTATGGTTAATGTGGCCGTCACTGCCGTACCAATAACTATCAGGTTTTTCACACTCATGAAGGGGTAGTGGAATGCAGTGCCATGAATCTTGGGATGTCTGCTGTTCGCAGTTCATCAAATCATTACCTTTGTCGATCTCCAATGTCTCTGTATCTGCAATAACGAAGTGCCAAAGTTTAGAACAATATTATGTTAGGTCATGCTTTTTTCTATGCATTTGTGTGAATATTGTCGTGCAGTAAACTGTACACCTGTATAGGAAGCCTAATAAGAGTGATGATTCAAAAATGGGCTATGAGTGACCCAGTTGCCATTGTCATAATTTTTATTAACACTGGAGTTGCTGTTAAAATTTTAGGGTTCAAACCTCAACTTGCAGATTTCTAATTGAAGGATATCCATAAAAATGAGTATTTCCAAAATGACGGGGTCTATAAACATTCAAAGGCCTAGTGAAAGAAGCCACAAGCCTAAGACAATCATTTAGATTCAAAGTATGCATAAGATCTATCAATCACAGCTTACCTTTTGGTAGATTTTTCAGCACAAACATACCCACTGGCGCCTAATACTTGTAATATTTTTATTTGAGGACGAAATTCTACTCTGTCGATCGAAGGATGTGATTTTTGGTTGTTAAGAGGGTGTCGAAAACAGTGTCATGTTGATTAATGCTCACCGACGTCACTGTTCTTATTTAACTCCGCCATCTATGTGCCACAAGAAGTAACTACCTAAGCTCATTATTTCAGAAAACGCCATAGAAAAAATATATGTTTGCTTTAGATTTTGCAGAAGGCAGAATTCCCATGGTCACTGAATTTTGTTCTGAGCCATGTATAAAGGTGTGGTCGCCTGTCTGGGATACCCAGGCCTATAAGAAATGATGGTTAGAGATTTTTTGGTAACTTAACCCAGAAATCACTCCCCATGGTACAAGCATGCAGTCGTAGTCATGTTCAAAGTCCTGAAGTTTTATCAGTTTTTGCTTCATCATTTCCTTCTTTCACATTTTTGTTCAGTGTTTTTTGTCTTTCTACATGTGTTCTCTTGTTCTTTTCCTGCATGTACTGTTTTTTAAGTGTGGTAACTTGAACTAAATAAACTTCTATGAGAGGTTCGACATTGATTCGACTGTGTCAGAATCAAAACTTATTTGACTCCTTAAAAAGGTTGGTATACATAATTATGTGGATGTCGTATACTTGGTTTTAATTCACTTCGGTAGCATACTGCATTAGACTAGTCGGTTAGTTCCTTTGTTTGCGTAAAATCCTATGAGACACAATTGCCTTAAATTTTTTCCTTATTCCATCATGTTGCACAGTTGTTTGTTTCTCTAAGTTTGGTGGTGGGCATCTAATAATTCTGCTAATTGTATTTGTGGTAATATTAAATTTTAGTTTTTAGTAAGTCTGCGGCGTCACATCTGCATCCCCCCTATTTCTGACCGATGTCGTATTAATTTTTGATAGGCTTTGCAAAGAAGTAGATCCTGCATCAGCTGCACTACCTAACACTGCAGTATTATCTAATGCATTATATACTAACGATCGACAGAATAAAGGTATCCACGATCAAGCCGCAAGTAACACAGAATCAACTTCTTCCACTAAATCCACTGCGATCGGACGTTTCACAGTAGCGCCAAGTGTCAAAACGAATGAACATACCTCTCAATATCCGCGTAGTAGTTTAACATCAGAGTCAAATCAAACAACTGGAAACCAGAAAAATGCTTCTACGGCTGATTCTGGAAATCGAGAGCATCATTCATTAACATCCACTTTACCAGTAGCCTTAAGAAGGGCATTCATGCAAATGGGTCGAACTATTGCTGGAGGTGGAGCCGCATCTACGAGTAATGAAGACAGTATTACTCGTGCTAATGCTCAGTCCAATACAGGTATTTTTCTGCTGTTTTCCAGTTTGTGTTAAAGTTATGAATAAAATGGTTTGTAAGCTAGATAGAAATGATCTGATCATTACTTGATTTATGATAACTAATTGCAATTTATAGACCACTGACTGACGTCGAATGCCTTCATACCAGCACTTAGAAATTAGGGTAGGATCCAGCAGATCCAACATAGGATATGGAAATAATGCCTTAGACTTCAAACTTCTATACTCCACATCAGTACATCAAGCAAAAATTTAACCAAGGGGGAAAAGGAAACAAGAACAGTACTATGGCAAGTCACTAAATATTGTGAAACAAAGGAAGTGACATGAAATTTTATCATGTTGCAATCTAAATGAAAACGGTTTCTACTCTACCGCGACTACTGATGATGTCTTCGAAATTGAAGTTGTTTGCTAGTGACTGGTATACCTACCTGAAAATAAGGAGTGGATTGATCGTGTGCACTGATCATTTCACTCACTTGGAAATTCGCATTTACCACAGTTAATTTGTAGTGAGGGGTATCGCAACACAGATACGGATAGATTGCTTTAAATTTCGTCACTTACGACGTAAATGAAACACGTAACTACTTATTAAAGTTCGACAGTGTTACGATACATTAATGCTCACTCCACAATGATTATAATATCTTGTTTTCTATTTGTCCCCTCTTTTGGCTTTTTTCTTACAGTACCCTTTATCTGATTATGTTATTTCTCATTTTGTCCACTTCTCTCCTACCTTTAACTTTATGTTCACATTTGAATTTCACAACAGACTTCATTTAAAGCCACCAGTCATCAATTTCGTTTAGCTCAGATCACAACCGACCCATTTCCTTTACATTTTATAAATAATATCATTAAGTTGCGCCTTAATGGTCTACTGTCATATTTTACTCTGACCACCAAATAACTTCCACTAGCATACATTTTTTGTGGCTTTCTAGCCTCAGTTATAGGGTATATAGACAATATTAGATAGTTGGAGGCAATCGGCCACAGGAAGACTTGGACGTAGGTTTCGTGCTAGTTGGCACTCGTCAATACACGAATATAGTGGAGTTTTTCACGGTCCGTCTCAGTCCTAAAGTATCACTTGTTCAGAAGGACCAAGCATTCTACTGAGCACCATGCAGTTTTGCAGTGTGTTTTATATCGTAGGATCTAATGTTGTCTACATCTTCAAGTCGTAGTTTCTCGCATCACCATAGCGTTAGTTAAATAACAAAATTAAAGCCTAAATGTTTAGCGGACACATAATAACATCCATTCGTGTTACCGGATAACAGTTTTTTGGATTAATAGATATTCGATTCTCGGAAGTATTATCTGAAAGCATCATTTCCAGTGCTCAGTGATAATGTTTCATAAACTGGAATTTTCAAAAAGAAGGTATTGTAAGTTTGCACTTAGAGAGTGATATATAAGTAAATGTTGTCATATAATGAGGAAGACAATTGATGGTAACTTAGGAAGAACGACGTTTAAATGTATTATCTTTTTACAAGAAAGTCCATGAGATAAGAAAACTGCAATTTCTCTATTACATCCAATTACTGCTGAATTTCCATGCATATGTATTATGAGGCAGATTATCACTTACTGATATGCGGCAACTACGAATGTCGAAGGTTCATGATTCCTCATTTGGAGCTTGACAACTGACTCTCGTAATTCTTATTTCATTTCAGTTGTATAAATCGTGTTTTTTGGGTGATGTGGTGTAAGACAAAAACTGTACCCTGCATTTGACACGTATTTATATTAGTAACCTTAACATTCATAGGTACTACAAGTAATATTTCATTTTCATAAGAGTCTATGGATTCACTTTTCCCTGCCACATTTCAACCTTCAATATTTACTGTAGAAAACTTTTTTTTTCACTTCCAGCACGCCATAATAAGCCTACACCGAAAACTGCTGCTGGTGGGAGGTACGTTTCTTTTATGCAACATAATATTGATGTGAATGTAAAACATCTGGTATTTTCACTTCGTGTGATTACCTACATTGTATGACTCTTTATAATTCACTAAGTTGTTGATTAGTTGGATAAAACTTTTCTTAGTTTCGTTGGTCTAGGAACTACATTTTCTCTGAAACCACCAAAAAGTAAGGGAAAGACCTCCAGAGAGTTTAATCCCTGTCTTTTCTCTGAGTTTGATTAATTTTAATACATCAGATGATTTTTTAAGAGTATCATAATAAACAAATCAAGTTCCATGTTACCCTTCATTTCTGAAAAAATCAATATTGAATCCGTAATACCATGAATGATTTAAACTATGAGACTCGTGTAACTTGTTGTACTAGACGATTATAAGAACAACTCATTATACAAAGGGACTGAACTGGACTGTTCTATCACTAAACTTGTATGTATCGTTTGTATGTAATTTTCAAAGTGAGCGCATTATTCATTACCCTTCAATAAAACATTGTGTAATGCAGATGCAACTACAGTGTCAACGATACTGTTATATATTGTGCAGCATGGAGAACAACCCTATACTGGATTTTTTTTTATTTTCCTGCACGTTCCCAGTGGAACATAGGGCTTCAAGCTAGATGCTTGAAGTTTCTGTAGCAGTGGTGATTATTTTTACAGGATGGGGTTGCTAGCCTCATGCCAAACCTTTCCTCTTCATCAGTCTCACTACTGGCTTAGCGAGGTAAAGGAGTGCGCCGGCCGGGGATCGAACCCCGGACCATGTTCATGGTCGGCGAGCGTCCTAACCGCTATGCTACCGACACTGGATTAACAGGTCAAAATTAATCTATTGTTATCCCATGTATTGTTTGGCTTTGAAAAAGTGATTGTTTGTTTTGAATTCGGTTGCAGAGAGTTGTAACTACTGCCTTTCGGTAAATTGAGAAATATTGTTTGGAAGTAGTGAATCCAGTGAAAAATACCTCTGTTAGCTAACATACTTTTATGACATTTCATCATGTCATACAAAATTAAAAAATAAATAAACTGATTAAAGATACCGATTAGAAATTTTAAGAAACTGATTAGTGAACAAAAAATATTCTCTTCCATAACTCCTTCATCAGGTCCCACAGTTATATGTTCGTAATAATTAACGAATTGTTGTCAACAATATTAGTGTTTTAAATAACATTGAATCAATAATATCAGTGGATTATAGTTCAAAAGCACCTTTGAGTCATAATATGCGCAAATATAACACTAAACTCAGTATTTCAGATAAATTAAGGGAAGTAAACACAGGAGTCAGACAAGGGTGCTTATTATCACCCACGATAATATTCCTAATTGTGGTGGACTAACTGGATTATGCGTCAGACAGTGACAGAGAAACGAGAAGACAGGAATATCCTGGACCGACGTGAAGAACCTAGAAGACCTGGATTTCGCGCGTGGATGATTTATGTTTGGTGTCACTCAAAATCGTAGACTTACAAGCGAAAACCGACAAACTGGTCGAAGAAGCAGCCGGCGAAGACAGGACTCCAGGTGAACATAGACAAGACGGAGGTTATGAAAATGACCAATCGGCCAACAACAACAACAGCACCAACATCCAGCGCCAGTCACCATCAACGGGAGGGATTTGAAAGAGGTTAGTGACTTCATTCACTTATCTAGGAAGCATTATCTCAACTACACGCAGTTGGAACGGACGAGAATGCCAAATCGAGCGAGAATCGGGAAGGCGAGCGAGAAAAACATTCATCAACCAACCTGAAACAACCAATCTGGAAATCTTCGTCACTCAGCCAGCATCAACAACAAAATTCCGTCGGATTTTCAATACAAACAACATCAAATCAGTCAGCTCTTCTATACGGATGAGAAACTTGGCGGGCGGGTCACGAAGAATATTTCCGACAGCCTGTTGCAGAAGCTACCTTTATCAACCAACAACTGTCTTCGCTGGCCCTATACTGAAGATCAGATGGCCGGGCCGGAAAGAATCGCCAACAAGAAACTATGGCTGGGAACAAACAAAACAAGAACCAATCGCCAACCAACAAATATGCAGGAGAAAGTGGAGATGGATTAGACACTGGCTGAGGAGGCTACTGAATGACATGGCGCGCGCGTCAGGCCATTCCTCGAGTGGAACCAGGCTGAAAGAGAAGTGGCGAGTGGGACGCCAGTGCCAGGGTGACATGTAGGAGATCGTGTGAAGAGGAGTTGGAACAGTATTGACTAACATGGATGCAGGTGAAAAGTACAGCAGAAGCAAGTGGAGATGTTCAGTTGAAGCCCTATGTTCCACTAGGAACCCAAGGGAACAGTAAATAATAAATAAATACAGAATTTATGAATTTATAGGTTCCACAGCAAGCCAGGGTAGTAGTAACGGCTGAACGTGTTTCTTTTGCGTATATAGCTCTGGTTGTTTTAAGTGAATTGCAATTACTTCTGCTGTTTTGGAGTATATGGTATTCGGAGGCCTTTGGCAGTGTATTCGGTAGATGATAGAAAAAGACTTTGGGACCTGTTTGGACGAAGTGATCTAATATGGAACTGTTGATGGTTTTCACCACACCTTTATTTATTATTATTATTATTATTATTGTATCCTTTAGTTCCTAGAGGAACATAGGGCTTCAGCTGCGCACCTCCATTGACTTCGGTTTTCTGACAACTTTTTCACCCTGCTCCAGGTCTGTCCACATGCTTTCATCTCCTCCTCGCATGACCTCCTCCAAGTCACCCTTGGACGACCAACTCGCCGCCTCCCTTTCGGGTTCCACTCGAGGGCTTGTCTAGTGATGTCACTTGATGGTTTCCTCAGCGTATGGCCAATCCATCTCCATTTCTTTCTGCCTATTTGTTTCACAATCGGTTCCTGATTGGTTCGCTCCCAGAGATCCCTGTTGCTGATCTTTTCTGGCCATCTGATCTTGAGTATTGAGCGGAGACAGTTGTTAATGAAGGTTTGAAGTTTGTTTGAGATGCTCTTTATGACTCGCCAAGTCTCTGATCCGTATAGTAGCACTGACTTCACATTGGAGTTGAAAATCCGGATCTTATTTTTGATGCTGAGTGCTGTTGACCTCCACACAGATTTGAGAGTAATGAAAGCTTGTCTTGCTTTTCCGATTCTGGCTTTGATGTCCTCGTCAGTTCCGCCTGTAGTTGAGACGATGCTTCCCAGGTAGGTGAAGGAGGTTGTTTCTTTCAGGTTCTTCCCATTTATGCTGATTGTTGTCTGTTGATGTTGGCTAGGAATCTTCATCATCTCTGTTTTATCTATGTTCACGTGAAGTCCTATCTTTGATGCTTCTTCTGCCAACTTGTTACTTTTCACTTGCATATCTTCCAGTTTATGGGAAATCAGACATATATCATCGGCGAAATCCAGATCCTCCAAGTCTTTTGTGTCAGTCCATTTTATGCCTGTTCCCTCGTTGGTTGCCGTTGTCTGTCGCATTATCCAATCAATTGCAATCAGGAAGATCATTGGTGATAGTAGACAGCCTTGCCTCACTCCCGTCCTCACTTCGAAGGCTTCCGTAAGTTTCCCGTTGTGGATTACTTGGCATGCAGCATTGTCGTATAACTGTTGGATGAGGTGTATAATTGTCGATGGGACCCCGTAGTAGCGAAGTAGTTTCCAAATGACCTCTCGATCGACGCTGTCGAAGGCCTTTTCAAAGTCGATGAAGTTGAGATAGAGAGGTGACTGCCATTCCAAGCTTTGTTCAATGATGATCCGTAGAGTGGCGATTTGATCAATACATGATTTGTTTCTCCTGAATCCAGCCTGTTCCGGACGAAGTTTTTCATCTAGGGCTTGTTTGATTCTCTCCAGGATGATGCGACTTAGTATCTTGCTTGGAATGGACAGAAGCATAATTCCACGCCAGTTTTTACATTGACTTAAGTCTCCTTTCTTTGGAAGTTTGAATAAGTAACTGTTCTTCCAATCCTCGGGTACTTTGCCCTCTTTCCACACCTTCTCCAGCAGTGGTGTCATCAAGTCCGCTGTTGTCTCTGGGTCTATTTTCAAAGCCTCTGCTGGGATTCCATCTGGTCCCGGTGTTTTCCCAGCTTTAAGCATCTTGATTGCATTCAGGACTTCTGATTTCGTCGGGGGGTCAGTGTTCACTGGTAGTTCTGCTTCCGTTGTTGGTATTGCTGGACGTGTTGTAGGTGGCGGACGATTTAGAAGTCTTTTGAAGTGTTCAACCCAGTGCTTTCTCTGTTCCACCTCTTTGGTGATTGACTTTCCATTGTCGTCCTTTATTGGCTTAATCTGTGTCGAACGTTTGCCCGAAAGGTTCCTAGTTGTTTGGTAGAGTGTGGCGAGGTCTCCTTTGCCTGCAGCTTGTTCTGCTTCGTTTGCCATGGTTTCATAATATTTTCTTTTGTCTTCCCTGGCACTTTCTTCACTCTTTTGTTCAGTGTATTGTAGCTTGCATTCAGCTCCTGTTTTTGTTGCTCGTCCGTGCACTGGATAATCTTTTGCTTCACTGTCCTTCTCTCTTCTATTAGTTTCCAAGTGTCCGTAGTGAGCCACTGTTTGTCCTGTCTCTTTTTTCTGCCTAGAATTTCTATGCAGGTTTGGCTCCACACCGTTTTCAAGTTGTTCCAGTGCTTTTCGACGCCGACCTTTCGCTGGTGTTGATTTGTGTCTCGGCTTTGTCCTTTATGCTTGCAATGAAGATGTCCTTTGTAGCCTGGTCCTTCAGCTTTTGAGTGTTGAACTTGGCTTGTGGTCTATCTGCAGCTCCTGATTCCCTGAAAGCTTTTAATTTGATTTGGATTGTCCCTTGTACGAGATAGTGGTCTGAGCCAACGTCTGCTCCTCTTCTTGCTTTTGTGTCCAGTAGGCTGCGCCTCCACTTCCTTGAGATTGAGATGAAGTCGATTTGGTTTTTGGTTTGCCCGTCTGGTGACACCCATGTAGCCTTGTGGATATCTTTGTGCTTGTATACACTGCCACCAATCACCAGTTCGTTGAAGGCGCAGAAGTCGGCGAAGAGTTCTCCGTTTTCATTCATTTCTCCTAGAGCTTCTCTACCCATGATGAGTTCCCTTCCCGTATTGTCTGGTCCCAGTTTGGCGTTCATGTCTCCCATTAGTATTTTCATGTCGCCAGCTGGAGTATTGTCCATTGTTGCCTGTAGTTGCCTGTAGAATTCTTCTTTCTTCTCGAGGTCTGCGTTGTTTGTGGGTGCATAACATTGTATGATTGACACTTTCCTTCCTTTGGAGTTGAACCTGGCGGTCATTATCCTGGACGAAATCGCCTCCCATTGTATCAGGGCTTTCGTTGCCGTTGGTGACATCATGATAGCCACGCCCTCGGTGTGCGTGTGGTTATCTTCTGGGTGACCGGAGTAGATCACTGACTCACCTGTTGACAATTTGGTGAGTCCACTCCCATTCCATCTGCTCTCACATATTCCCAGCACTTGTATTCCGTATCTTTTCATCTCGTTGGCGATCTGGGCAGCTTTCCAGTCTCGTACATAGTTCGGACGTTCCATGTTCCTACACAGACTTTTTCTTTTGGTGCAAAGAGGTTCATCATACTGAAGTTTCTTTAGCAATTTTGTTTACAGGGTGGGGTTGCTAGCCTCACGCCTGAGAAAAGAATGATTACATTAAGTAAAAGTTTAGAGAGAAGCAACTTTTTGGGTTGCTCCCCTCAAAATCAGAAAATAACGGACAAACAATGAGAACAACATCAACAAAGGAAACAGTTCACAGAAAAAAGGGCAAAAAGCGACGACAACTATACAATAAGACAACATGCAATATAGTTCAGTACAGTTAACTAAAATGATATCTTAACCATAAACTCACTGACTTGGAGCAACTTGAACATATAAATCCAACAATATATACAATTATAGATGTGTTTATGTTTAAAAATTCCACAAATCCAAACAGTTAGTTATATGTATTATCTGTCAATAAGATTGTATTTTTTGGATTCAGTGTTCGAAAGGTAAATAATTGTGATAGTTTCCACAAACTCTTGGCATAAAATTTTACAGAAACGAGAGTTTTTATTTAGCAATTCTAACAGATGGTCTCTAGCAACAAAGGTTAAGTTCGTAGAGCAACAGTCAATATAGCTGGTTACACAGGAGCAGCTGGATTGATAAATACAACAAGAGGTGGCTAGTCTGGGTACACATCGTTTTTCAGTTTCAGAATCACATGAAAAGCCACTGTGTTGTAGCACTCTCATACAAAAAGCTCAATATAAGAGGTGTTTATATTTTCGAACCCAAAGTGTCCCAGATTGATTCTCCATAGTTTATGATTATTTGTAAGATTACTTCTACATCCTGAAATTTTTCCATTTTAAGAAGTCATGTAAAGTAAGATGATGAAATAATTGAGTATTGTTTTGTGTATCCTTACTTTGTGCATCAATCTAGCAGTGTCATATACAGTCTACCTTCACCAATTCAGTTAGACGCGTTTAACAATCAGTCCGCCTAGATTAACCACGTGGCCAGTGCTATTGATGCTGTAATTTTTTTCCCATTCCCCTGATTAATTGTCTTTAAGAATAAAACAAAATATATTGTCCGTTTTTTGGCTTTTCAGAGGTGTCATTACTGCAGCACCTGTCCCTATCGGTGCTGTCAAAAAACATGGTTTCGGTACGCCTCAACAGCAACATTTGCACAAGCGTCTGCCAGCTAATCAGCATCATCCCCCTTCAGGTCCCCTTGATAACACAGATGGTAGTCCGGCAAATCACTCAGCTACACTTCGGCATGTAGCTCCACGTGATTCTCAAGATTCTTTGAAGCCAGATTCGTCTAGTCCTCGCGCTCATCCTTCATCCAATACTTCCAGTATATCATCTGGAAGTCATAAGGCTTCACCTCCACAAAAAGCAAACAGAATAGCTTCAGAAGCTGAAAAGCCCATCTCAGATACCTCTCATCGTTCTGTAAACACCACTGCTCGTGAAAATGACAAGAGTTCTGCGCATGCGGCTACTCACAAGCGCGGTACAACGGACACCAACGGAATGGGACCCCCAAGTTCAAGTAGTACTTCATCTGATTCTTACGGTGAATGTGAGCTTCGAGAAACAGCTGCTACACTTGTTCAAGGTGTCTGGAAGTCAGTTGATGCTTCATCCCTCAATCCTCGCTCTCCCCAACAAACTCCATCGGAATTAAAACGAAAGGTTCAAAATGATGGGCGTCTTAGTCAGGATATGTCAGAACAATATAAAGGACATATGCAGTCGGAACAATCAGGTCTTCGAAATGAAAAATCTGAAATTAGTCGCAGTCTCACCACCATAGATCAGGCAGATCAAACAGTTAATGTTACGTGGTCAGATGATGCAGCTAAAACCGTAAACACTCCACCCCTTACTCCACAAATGAAAGTATCACATACAGTTCAGGGTACAGAAGCAGTTGCTCTGCGTCAAGAAGCTTTACGTTTGCAATCTACGCATTCAGCCACTAAAACACCTTCCGATCCTCGTTCATCTATAAATTAGTAAGTATTGGATAGTTATTATGTTTCTCATATTGCAGTACATTTTTTTAGTCGGTTGTCAGTGGTTTTCTGACGGGAGTGTCTTTTTCTAAACATAATTTTTGGATTTCATACAATTATTATTCATACTATGAGTCATCGAGTGTTGTTCGGGAACAATTCGGTAGTATTGTAGCCTTGGGATTCTATCGTGGTCGTTTCATCATCATCAGCCTTAATTGAATCCTGTATACTACATTTACAAATAGGATATTATGAAAGTTAGACCTTGTGTTACTGCGTAGTAGTTGACGTTACTACATCTCACGTACGCACACCATGTAAAAGGTAATAGAATGAAATAAAAATCATCAGTAATCGTCAAACTCAGGAACATGAAAAGTACCTTTTAGCTTTTCACTCAGTGTTCAGCACCTTTTCTAATGAGACTCTGTTGTGTAATTGCTCTAAATCAACTAAGTAACTTCACTGGAGGAAGGAAAATGAGTACATTGAAACATCTACAAATTATTTGCTATAGATGATGGTGGTGAACATCCTTGAGGGATACTATTCAATCTAGGCATCCTACGTGAGATCTTCCTGTAGGTTCTCTATCATGGAGCCTATGATAAGGTGGTGAGACTTTGGACAATGTAAAATTGTCTTACAGAATCCTTTATTTGGCAGCATTAAATATCTAATTTAAGTCATGAAATATAACTGGCGTATAGTGCTGAGAAATGTATCTCTTCTTTGGCATCTGACTCAAAACGGTATATTCACAACCAGGTGTTCTCAGGTTTATTTTCATCAGGTAGACTATGTATGCGCGTAACAGGCGAAGATAATAGACTTCGTAACGGGTCTTCATTATGGCAAAACATCATCTTTATACAGTTTAGCGACATTAAATTGCTCTGACTGGTTGGCACCTGGTCCAAGGTTAAGCAGGTTGTCCGATGAGGTTATTTCGTGACCACAACGTAAACTCTGCAGCCACTGACTTAAAATGTTAATTTCAGTTTTGGTCGCTTTCTAACCCCAGGGAACTTTGTAGACTACATTGTAACAATCAGCCATTCAGATTGATCAAAGGCAGTCGTGTTTATCATACATCGTTTTAAAATTCTAAACTTCATTTGAAACTACCTGATCTTATAACACTTTCGGAGTTCAGATTGCTCACAGCCATATTGACTTCAAAGGTCGTTGAAATCTACTAGCCGTTCCTAACATTTTTGTTGAGTGGTTACAATATATACCGCTGTTTCCACGGTAAATCTAAGATATAATCGAACGTCATCAGAATACGGAAAAATGTCATGTTCCTGTAAAACTACGTGATTATTTCGTCACTGAATTCAGCATTATTATCCCTTGAAAAGAAGATTTTGTACCTTAACTCTTATTAGGTTCAATAAAAGCTTAAGAATACGCGTCTGTGATTACTCTTCGAGAGCGTACTGCAAAACAGTCAGTAGTCATTCACTATTACTCTCTCTCTCTCCCTCTCTATCTGCAAGTTGTGGCGATTTTTGTTTCGCTGAATATTTGAATGACGTTGGTTATTGAGATAATGGAGATTTGTAGCTCAGGCGGATGTTTTTCGTGTGGCTGTTTTCTCTGAGCCAGGTGGTTTAATTGCGAAGTTTTCATTGTCCTTCTGGATATCTTCAGTGCTAAGCGATTTTTAGAATTCTTCATAAATGAATATAACTGTTCTTTCATTGGACGCCGGTAACTAGTGCGATGTGTCTAGTCTTATCTGAATTCTATCAGTCAGGTTTGCAATGTGACCATCATTCTAGGTAGCTCGCCATCATGGTGCACTTTGAACTGTTGATGTTAGATGGTTGGAGACAAGCGGTAGGAATCCTTGGACACGTAGGTTCCGTGCTAGTCGGCACTCTTCAGCGAGGCGTATGTGCAACCTTGAAGGAACTCATGTCCCTGCTGAGATTCGAACCCGCGTCACCCAGTCCTGCAGTCAGAGACGTTACCACTGAACTATTCGGACTCGCGATTGATGCAACTGTCCCTTCCTGGAGACCATCGTAGTTGTTGGTTATCTGTAGGTCTTATAACGTTATTGATTAAGGATAGCTGTTAACTGGGGCAAGCTTTCAACATTATCGGTTAATGTAAATCGTTTATTAATTTATCTTTAACCTTTTGTAACGATGCATTTATTTCGCTTTTGTGAATGAATTTCAATTTTGTTTGTTTAATTTATCTGCTTTATACGTGCAAATCATTTGTGCGTCGGTGGCTTAGCGGTTAGGATGCTCGCTGATCATACACATGGTCCGGGATTCGATCCCCTCCCGACGCACATCCTTTATCTTGCTAAGCCAGAAGTAATGCTGGTTAAGGGGAAAGGTTGGGGATGAGGCTAGCCACCCCATCCTGTAAAATAAACACTGCTACAGACACTTCAAGCCACTAGCTTGAAGCCCTATGTTCCACTGGGAACGTGAAGGGAAAAAAATACGTGCAAATCATTTGGGTTTCTCCTGCTGTAGAAAGAAAAATTGCTAAATCTTTAATACAGTATAGTATCCTGTGTATGTTTCTGGTTTTCATTATATGCATATTTTCACATGTATTCTGAATACCATTTAGTGTTAATCTGTTTATTCTTTTTTTTATAGCGCTGTGGATTCTAGTCATCAAACTACGTGGGGTCGAGGTGTCTTAAAGGCATTAGGTGGATTTTTTGTACAAAGGTATGTACTTTTGTTAGTTAAAAAAATCCATTTACATTTACGTATAGCCACAAAATCTACTAACACTTATCACTTTATGCTTGTTGAAATGAATTAGTTTTTACTGCATTTAAACGATGTACTATATTTATGATGTATGGGTGGAGAGAGGTTTTCAAACGATTATAAAACTGTTACAAAAGAATGTTATTTGGCATATTTTGGTTTCCTTTATGTTAAAATTTAAATTAAGGTCAGTTTTTATTTTATGAGGTGATACAATTTTGTTTCGCCGTTGGATACTTTCCAACTGCCAAAAATATATAGAGACAAGGATTGTCTTAACAGTGAATTCTCTCGCCTATGATTATTTGATTTGTTTTATGAAGTAGTTAAATCTTTTTATCTTGAGAATTCGCGCGCTTTTATGATTTTTTGGAATGTGGTTGTTTGTTTATTTGTTTTTCAGACAATAAAACACGTGCTAAATAACTTAAGTTGTTTGTTGTATTACTCCTAATCATTCTTCTTATAGTTAGAATTCATTCAAGTAATTTTCCCTTTGAATTTATGTGAGTACATACACGCTTCACACTTACCGAATAGACAAACAAATTAGTTTGAAATTCAGTTCTTATTGCTTATTTTAAAGCGTGCATAAGTAGACCGAAATGACGTATGATAATAAAAGCTTTTTTAACTTGTTATTAATTTAGTAGTACAATCATATTTGTGAGACGATATTTTTGCTGTTGTTGTTGTCGCGGTTGCTGCTGTTACGTTTAAGCATATGTGTGCGTAGTGTGAAATTCAGCGTTAAAATCAGACAGAAAGGTTGAATTGTTGTTGAAAATTATATAGAATAACTTTGAACCAGCAGATTGCTATTGATTTAATTAGTAGGTATTCAAATCACTTGGTGCTGCGCGTTGGTAGACTGTTTGTCTAGTTATTTCTTCTAAATGGAATTACATTAAGGTAAATATTTGTGAAGAGTTGATAGAATGTGTTCTTGATCAACACTAGGCGTCAATGTGGATTCGATTAAAAGTCCTCTTTTTTAGCTTGTAGAGAATCTTTATAAATATGCGGTAGTTTCCTTAGCACATTGGTTAGGACGCTCGCCGACTATGCACATGGTCCGGGGTTCGATCCCCGGCCGATGCACTCATTTACCTCGTTAAGCCAGTAATAAAAAGCTGGTAAAGAGGGAAGGATGTGCTTCGGTGGCATAGCGGTTAGGACGCTAGCCGACCATGCACATGGTCCGGAGTTCGATTCCCGGCCGACGCACTCCTTTACCTCTCTGAGCCAGAAATAATGCTGGTTAAGGGGAAAGGTTGGGCATGGAGCTAGCAATCCCATCCTGTAAAAATAAACACTGCTACAGAAAATTCAAGCCTCTAGCTTGAAGCCCTATGTTCCAATGGGAACGTGAAGAAATAAATAATAAGTTTCCTTAGCTCCTCTTTTTCACTTAATACTCTGCATATTATGTCGACTGCGTTATTGTCTTTTTCTTGGAACAGACTTTAGTTTTTAAAAGATTATGACAATAGTCACACTAGTTTGTGTAATGAAATATCATATTCTCCATCGACAATATGAATATATATATATATATATATACTTTTAAAGGAGAACTATGTTTCTTTATAACATACAAAGCAGAAAACAATGAATCTAACGTCATTTTTGTTTTGAATGTGTAAGTGGTACAAGTCAATCTGCATTCAGATTGGGCCTTGCTCGTGAGTCCTAGAATAGAGCATCGAAATATCATACTTACGTTTTTAGTTGCTCTTCGGCTGTACTTGATTAAAAAGCTTGTATTCCAAATAGGTGTTGTTTCTTGTCCTTCTTCTCTGTGTTGGATATTCAAGAGAAATCCAATTTTGAGTACCAGTAGTATCTTTGCGAATTCGAGGAATTATACGGTATAGATTTAACATTAACCTGTAAAATTATTTGTGCTTGCATTGGTTGCAGATAACTTTATAACTTTCTTTTTTTTCCACTTTCAGTAAATCAACAGATGTACGACAAGACAGTTCATCTACACGACCTCTAAATAAACCTCGTGAGGTGAGGTTTCCATGGAGTGTGTATACCACAAGCACAAAAACAGCAGAAGAACTTCTTAAGAGCATTATACATGCTCTTGAAGTCACTCCTGGTTGTCGTTATTCCTACGACCCGCATCTTCCTTTCCTTTTACAGTGTTCATGGGCAGCTGATCGACCTGCTCTAAAAACATCAACTTCAGAAGCTGATTCCAAAGGTTTAACAAACACTCAATTTTCTTCACCCCTTGACATGCCAACTCATGGTGGACTTATGCGTGGAGATCCAGTTCATTGGGAAATGGAGGTATGTCAATTACCACGTGTGCATTTGCGAGGAGTTCGACTGAAACGAATCCGTGGTTCAACGTTGCATTTCCGTCCAATTGCTGATCTTGTTATGAAATCATTGCGTTTGTGATACATACAGTGTATCGAATACTGTAAAATGGTCACTAAGTCGTGTTAGCATTACTTTTGTAGGAGTATATGATTGATTTGTTGAAAGTAAGCCATCATACTACTACTACAAGCTAATTCACTTAATTCCTGTAATTCATGCATAACTTGTGTTTTTTGTTCCTTATTCTTACCGACTATACATCTAATATATAAAGATTTACCAGTTTCCTGAATGAATGCGTTTTGTGTTTTAGAAAAAAAGGTCAAATAAACACAATTTTATTATTATCCATAGCGTGCTATGTACAGTTCTATCCATTTATTTATTTAACCATCTACTAATTAACTTCATAATATACTTATATTTTTGTCTGGTAATTTTGATTTTGTTCTAATATGCATTCAATATTCCATTGATTTGTCTTTTGACCAGTTTCTTTGTTTCTTATGTTCACTTATTGACTATAATAATATTACACAATTTCATATATATATATATATATTTGTGATATCTTTCAAACATTTCACGCTAGATGTGTACGCATATATATATATATATATATATATATATATATATATATATACCTTATCTACTCATAATGTGACGACCCTTATAATTAATATCACTAACTATATTTTAATTTCGCGTTGTAATTGACATGTTACAATACACCACAGTGCTCTGTTTTGTATAGTTTCAACTGTGTTTTTGTTTTTCTCTTGTGTTAAAAAGATGGTTATGCAATGTCTCCCCCCCCCACACACACACACACTCTGTTTATTTCTCCTGCAACGATATATCCTCTTCCGTACCCTTTTGAACTTGAATCTTATCGTTAACTCTCATTTCAAAATCTCATGTCTTCGCTTATAATATTTTTTTGTTTGTTTAATTCTAGTGCCAGATAATACTCTCTGCTTTATCCCACCCACCCAGCCACCCCCGCTCTTATTATTACAGCCTTGGTCGTGTCACTATATTACTACTTATTTCATACGTAAGATGTTTCTGTATTTATCTTTGAGTTTTTGTTTTTGCTTTTTTTTCTGTCACTGCTGTTAGCTGTTTCTAAATCCAGCCTATTACTTGGTGGTTTTGTTGTTAGTGTAGGTATTATAGTGTAAGTTAAGGAGAGAGAGAGAGTATAACAGATTATTATCACGCGCTAATAGTATTCATTACCTTGAGGAATTATTTTAAAAGTAGAAATCAATACAGGTGTTTGGTATTATGCACTAAGTGTGAGTGAATGGCATTTTTTTTGGTAAAGAAAAACTAATAAAATGAGGCGTTCTTTACACGTTTGTTGCCCCAGTCTATATGAGGCTGTTGAATTTTCTAACTAAACAGTCTCTTTTCTGTAAACAACATGAAAAATATCGTCTAGAGAGACACAGAGAGAGAGAGAGAAACGAAGTCGCTTTTTTCGTATTCATATTCTTTATCCTGTCCACTGAATGTTTTCTTCCTAGTCAATAATGCATCAGTTGAATCTGATCGACTACAGAGTCAGCAAATTCTCTTGAACACTCATTTCTCCATTGTACTTTCTTGCGTAATACAAAATGAGCGCGCATTACTACTAAAACTGTTAAGTAAAGTAAATTTAAAGTTGTACTCATCTTGGAGCATTATTGTATTCAGTATTTATATGTCAGTGTTGTAGGACAAGGTTGACTAATTTCACATTCAAAGGCTGAACTTTAATCTCATTGTTTAAGTGATATATATATTAACTATTAAAAGAAATGCTTTTGATGTCTGTCATATATTCTGTGTCCAGTAGGTGGCGGGCTCGGGATTCCATCCTGTTTGATTTTGTGTAATGGATCGCCTTGTGTGTGTTGGTGAAAGTAAATATTCACCTTATTCTCTTGGTAATATATCAACTTGGACGTGTCTTTGTGAATTTGTAGATTCAGATCTTGATGTAATGAAGGCGGTATTAGTTTATCGTTGTCGTTATCATTAAACCATGTCTTATAAATTAACAACTCTTCCTACTACAAACAAGCCAAGGGGCAGTTTAAGTATTAACGTTTATTTGAAATAATCTATGAGTTTACTTTATCACCAGAACAGTAATGTGGTTATTCACCTTGTTGACTGAAATCTATGTGTGTAAGATAATAATCAGGTGCATAAACTCTGCAAGTTTGTTTGTTTAGTGGGATGTCTTGTGACATCAGGCACAGTTCTCTTACAGATGGCAAGATACAATTTGCATATATTGTGATAAACAGAATTCATCATCTCTCTCTCTCTCACATTACAGGAGTTTAATTCATGGAATAGGTTAGACCAATTGGTAGACATGGTTGTTGGCTATTGTTAGACTTTAACAATATTGTCCTTAATTATATATCATCTAATTAACTGCTTGACTTATCGATTGTTTTAATAACCCGGATAGCAGACGTGCTTATATAAATGGTATTGTCGCCAATTAGTGCATGCATGACATTCCGTTTTTACAGAAATTGTGTTTGAGATATCATCACATTGTTGACAGACTTATTTGTCTGGTTCAAGTTCTATTAAATCTATGATATGTAAATACAATACATATTATGCTAAGCTAAAAATAAAAATGCTATGAGAATCCTGTTACTAAAAAGATAAATTGCAACCCAGCACTAATGAATCTTGAAAACAGTTTCCAATTTTGAGCCTGTAACTGAAGTCTAGAAGTTTTCCCACGCATGAGTTGGAAATTCAGGCACTTATTTTCAATAAACATTGGCTAAAACCAAAAGGGTCACTCAGGAATTCGCCGGTTGATACAAGTAGTCGAATCTAGAAATTCTATAGCCTTAGCTTTAAACATTACCTGCTGTATTGAATGGTATCTAACTATTCATATCAATCGATAGATAGTATATAGCGTCACTTATTTGTGCTGGCTTTCTGGCTTAGCATTCATTTATGGCATCAGGTAGATCTCATATTGTGTTTTGAAATTTCACCTCGAACCGGGTAAATTGTGATTTTGATTAAAAAAATTTTTTAAAAAAGGTGATTTTTTAGGACATTTTGAATGTATTTCATGTTATGTTTTTTTTTCATAAAATAAAACATTTGTTGGCAGAATAACACCATTGTCTAAATTTTGCCACTGGGAAGGATAAATCATTACCATTAAGCATTACAATTAACAAAATTCAAAATGTGTAAGATGTTATTTGAGAGATATTTTATTATTCAACAGTCTAGGGAATAGGTAGGTGTATAGCTTTCATCAAATGATCCTATATGTTTCATCAGTTAAAGGTGAGGAGAAAGTGTTAAATGATATCAAGTTTCTGTCTGAGATATATTTAGCAACAAATAGTAATATATAACGAGTTTACGAAGTTATTTTGAGTTGATTTTCTCACTGTTTATTATTATTGTTTCCTTTAATTCCTAGAGGAACATAGGGCTTCAGCCGCGCGCCTCCATTGCGTTCGGTTCTCTGCTAGAGTTTTCACTTGATTCCAAGTCAGCCTTCGTGCTCTCATCTTCTCTTCACATTACCTTCTCCATGTCACCCTTGCACTGACAGCCAACTGGCCGCTTCCCTTTCGGCTTCCACTCGAGGGCTTGTCTAGTGATGTCAATTGATGGTTTCCTCAGAGTATGGCCAATCCATTTCTTCCTGCCTATGTGTTGCACAATCGGTCCCGGCTGATAACTGCTACCTTGCCGTGGTGGTCGGGCTTGAATACCGCAATAACCCAACAAGCTAAACTTACTGCAACTCTGTCCCTGCAGGTCCTACCATGTCAGGAAGGTTTTCTGGATAGCGGTTAAACTAAAAGCAGTTACCATGGGGCACATGGGCTCCAGTATCCAACCGGATCGAATGGCGTATGAACCCATATGCGTCACCGGAAACCATGGGAATGCAGCTCCTGACGCTGCTCTGCTGCCTTGCGGATTAGACTCCAAGTCAAAGGCTCGGGGGTTGGTCCCTTAAGAAAACAACCTGCTTCGGTCTGGGGGCCCGGGCAGTATCTCAGCCCTCGCACAATGAATGAAATAAAGCAACAAACTCATTCAAAATCATCGCGCGCTATTAACAATGATTTCAAGTAACATTGATGCCTCAAGGAACTTATGTCCTTCCTGCCTTACTTTTATTTTTGTGCATAGTTTCCTGTAGTTTACCTTTGCTAACCTTGACTTCTTAACCTTCGACAACCTTTCGCCTTTGTCTGGATTCCCAGCCTATCTGTGTCGTTTCGATATGTTAGTGAGTAATCCTCAAAATGGTTGTCCCCAATGTGACATCTAACACAGATATCCTGAAACCGCCTGCCGCGTTCAAGCTGGCCACCTACAATGTTCGGACGCTGATGCAAATCGGACAACAGGCAGGGTTGGTAAGAACTTTGGAAAGCCTCGCTATCGATGTCTGCTGCATTTCGGAAACCCACATTCAAGATGTCAGTGAAGTGCTTCGTCTATCCTCTCCATCTGGAAGTTCTAGTATTATGTACCACCTGCGCTTGTCCGGGGAGCCTGTGGCGTCGGCATCCGGCGTAGCTGGTGTCGGTGTCGCACTGAGCGCTAGAGCCGAAGCTGCATTGCTCGACTGGATTCACATTAGCAGCCGTTTATGTGCTGTGAGGCTGGAAGGTTATACGAAAGTAAGGAGTAGTAGGCCAGATAGGCGGTGTCTATTTGTTGTCTCTGCCTATGCACCGACGGATTGCAGCCCGGATGCAATGAAGGATGAGTTCTACCACCAACTTAGCGATATTTTGAAACAGGCGGGTCAGAGGGATATCGTAGTGCTGGCTGGGGACTTGAATGCACAGGTCGGGCGTCTAAGCTCAGAGGAGAATCGTCTAGGTGGTCAATGGGGGACTACATGGTCGCAGGTCAGATAATGAGGATCGTCTTCTGCAGCTTTGCGCGGATCACAACCTATTTCTATCCAGCACCAACTTCCGGCACAGCCATCGCCGTAGCGCTACCTGGCTTCCTCCCTCTGCGAAGCAAGCTTGGACTCAGATTGATCATATTGCTGTCAGTTTCCGGTGGCGAGGATGCATACAAGACTGTCGCTCCTTCTGGAGCCCATGTCTGGATTCCGATCATGCTTTAGTGTGTGCCAAGTTCGTCTTGCGATTTGGTGGAGTTCATAAAAGGCGTCGTATAAACGTTAATGTGAGCAAACTAGTAGCACCTGCTACTTCTTTGAAATATCAGAATGGGTTACAATCAATGCTTGCCAGCAACCCTCCCCCCCAAATAGTATAGATGAACATTGGCTTCATCTGCAAGGTGCCATGCAAAGGGCGAGTGTAGCCGCTTGCGACTTGAAAGATTACTCCGCTAAAAACCACTAGGTTTCTGCGAGTTCCTTGCAACTCCTGGATGAACGCCGGTCCATTCCGGCTGGCAGCAAATATAACAATAAGCGAAAGGCGCTCACGCCCAAGATAAGACAGTGTTTACGTAAGGACCGCGAAGCCTGGTGGTCAGAACATGCGTGTGAGTTGGAGTCAGCTGCTGCATCTGGCAACAGTTAGAAGTTGTTCCAACTTATCCGAGCCACCGGTAGCAAGAAACAAGATGTCAGCGAGATGGTCTGTGAGGCAGATGGCACGCCAATTACCAGCTTGAAAAGACGCCTGGAACGTTGGGCAGAGCACTTCGGGAGGCAGTTTGGCTGGTCAGCACCTTCAGTGTGCAAAGTACTGTTACAAGATTGGCAGGAGCCTGTACCTGCACTCACCCTTGCGGGCGAAGCGCTTGATGTTGTTGGTAAGTATGTGTATCTGGGTGGTTGTGTGATTGCTGGCGGAGGGGTGACGGATGAGATTTCCAACCGTATAATAAAGGCTAGGGTGGCATACATCAACTTGAGCCACCTATGGCACCGTCGCGATGTTAGCCTGGCTATCATAGGTTGGGTATACAATGCTTCGGTGCGGGCTGCCCTGCTCTACGCCTGTAAAACCTGGCCTCTCTGAGCTGAGGATGTTCGGTGACTCTGCGTGTTCGATCATCGCTGTCTACACAGGATTGCTTGCGTTCGATGGATGGCATCATCGCGTGAGTAATTCTGAGGTTAGGCGGCGTGTGTCTGAACACAGTGGATATCACCATTCATTGAGTGTCGTCATCTGGGAACACCGGCTCCGGTGGCTTGGACATGTACTGCGAATGTCATCCCAGAGGCTTCCGTACAGGTCTCTGTTCTCTAGCCCTGCCCTGGGACGGGATGGAAAAGGCGGAGAGGTGGACAGTCCATGACGTGGAGTCGTGGGATGAAGGATATTTGTGCTAGATTAGCACTGGTTGGTGAGTCACGACTCCCTGGTTGGAGTTTGAGAGATAGCTAGAATCGGTGGCTCGAAACCTTATTGGATATGGTCAAGAATCGTAATCAATGGCGAACGTGTTGCAATTTCCTTGTTTCTTCCCTTCCCGGTGATAGTTAACGAATACTGTTTGAACTTGTTAAGCATGACTGTCTTCTTCCAGATGAAGTTCTTTATCCGTTCTCTACTTATATTTTTTCTTTTCCTTCTTTTTTTTCTTTCGGTCTATGTTGTTTTATTATTATTGTATGGCGCACCCTTCTTGGTCCCATATTGTACCAAGTTTTTATGCGTTTAAATAAAATAAATAAATGCACAGTCGGTTCCTGCTGGGTTGGTTCATTTATTGCCAGAGATCCCTATTTCTGATCTTTTCTGGCCGGCCATCTGATCTTGAGTAGTATTGAACTAAGACAGCTGTTGATGAAGGTCTGTAGCTTGTTTGAGGTTCTCCTTATGAAGCGCCATGTCTCTAATCTGTATAGTAGCACTGACCTGTTGTTTATATATTCATGATATCTGTCAAACACACTTATTTTAATTTCATCAAACATATCGGATAATGTTCGGCAACATTTTTCTCAAGAAGATCCCTGAAGTTTGTTGTAGTCAGTCCTACAAAAAGTATGTGAATCAATAAAAGCCTAAACAGAGATAGGTGTAGACACTGTCGTTCTGAATCACATTTTGAAGATATCAGAAACACTGGTAGAATTGTAAATGAACTTCAGCTTAACAAAGGTAGACGTATGGTAGGTTGTTTTGAAAAACAGGCGTATCCACTGGAAAACACTGTGTCGTAACAGTATTTATTCAAATAGCCTTACCGTGAATGCCATCCTTGAAGTTTAACTTAAGCCATTCGCCTGGTTTGGTACTGCTTGAAACTGTACGAATAAAAATGTAGTTTTATTTTCATTCCGCTAGATATTATCAAAATTTGGAAGTGCTGATAAGTTTCAAAACAATCCTCTCACATGGAATATTTCTTGGTTCACGTGATAGTGTTGTATATTTAATTAATCTAGCAAAACTTTGTTCCATGCCTAAGGTAATAGATTAGTACCGAAATATTTTGGTCTCATCAGGATTCACTGAATTAGAAAAAGTGGATACAGTTTAGGAAGCTTTAATAAACAGAATTGTTCATGTGGACTTCGAACAATTTAATTCCATAAACCTGTATCCCCTCCCTCTCCACCCCCCCCCCCAACCTAAAGCTTGTCATAATCTAGACCAGTTTCCCTCTCACATGTCAACTAAATTTGTATTGTCTTCGCTGTAAAGTTTACTAGTATTGTAACAACAGAAGATAAGGTCCAGGCGACAGATCGTTTATTTAGGAAATCAACAGATATTTATAGATTTTCATGTACATTATTATAGATTATTGTAAGCAAACAAACACAGCCTTCTGATTGGTGGTTTCTCGCTGAACGCTTTGTGGCCGTTTCTATCTGCAAATTGTATCCGCCTACGCAAAGTCTGTTGGGATTGGTTGTTGAGTCAGTCTTTGTTCTTATTTTTCTCATGACCAGTCATGGGGACGTAAATTACTATCTACCAATTTTGGCTAGCAGCCATCCCTTACCACAGGTATGTACGAGATGTATTGCTGTCTTACGTTTAATGCTAATTTCAGAGTTTATCTTTAAGAATAGATTTTATGCGGTACCTGCATTGTTATACTTTGAAAACTTTGGTGGAGATATATATTAGTTCTTTCTGTTTTTGTTAATGTCTGGCGAATTTTTCAACTTATTTTCATTCTCATGAATCAGAAAAAATTGTACACACACGCCG